ATCCAAAGGTATATATGTATGTGTGTTTAGAGATAGAAACAGAAAGGAGATCTGCTTGTTCAGCCTTTTGATTGTGGGTTCTAAGCAGAAAATGCCAACAACTAGTATTCACTGTTAAAGTATATTGATGGTTTTCTTTCCTTAAGCCCTGTCAGTTTATTTGGTTTTAGCATGCCTGAATGTTATGTCAGAGGAAACAAGCCTTCTGAATACTTACTTACATGGGATTTTTGGTGACATTTTAAAGCATTAATGACAGAAAAGCAGAGGATTCTTTCAGTTATTAATTTTCTGCCAACTAACCACATGTTTACAAACATCAACACTGTTTTTCATAAAAGAGCCATATGGTTGATTACAGTAGATTAAGAGGTAAAATTAGAGGCCGATTTTAAAGCTATTTCTCCAGTTTTTAAAGGCTGTGAGAAGAGTTGAATTAATACAATAAACTAATGGGAATTTTCCTACTTCCTGTTGGGTATTTTATAGCATATTCCCAACCTAAAAGAAAGAAAAATGTTTTAAAAAGTTAGTTGTGATGGTGAAAAATAATTAGTTTTGGTCTAAATATATGTTTTTCTCAATGAATTGGACCATGCCCCATCAAATCAAAATTTCATTTATCTAATTATAAATCTATAAAACATGCTTTCTATTTATAATAATAAATATTTCTATGTAAAATGCCCATGTATGAAACACTGAATGCATGAAGATGAGTGAGCAAAACTAATTTTCTTGAGAAGAGCTTTTCCTCATTAAAAATGAGGACTAAGCCCTAGTTTGACTCAGTGGATAGAGCATGTGGAAGGCAACTAATCAATATGTCTCTCTCACATCGATGTTTCTCTCCTTTTTTCTCTCTCCCTCCCTTCCACTCTATCTAAAAAATCAATGGAGTTCCATTTTTAATTTTTTGAGGAAACTCCATAATGTTTCCCACAGAGGCTGTATCAGCCTGCATTCCCACCAGCAGTGCACGAGGGTTTCATTTTCTGCACATCCTTGCTAACACTTGTTGTCTGTCTGTTGATTTGTTGATGATGGCCATTCTGAAAGGTATGAGGTGGTCCCTCATTGTTGTTTTGATTGGCATCTCTCACATGATTAGTGACTGAGCATTTTTCACGTGCCTCTTGGCCTTCTGTAGGTCCACTTAGGAGAAGTGTCTATTGAGGTCCTTTGCCCATTTTTTTATTGGATTGTTTATCTTTCTTTTGTTAAGTTATATGAGTTCCCTAAAAATTTTAGAGGTTAAACCCTTATCAGATATAGCATTGGTAAATATGTTCTCCCATGCAGTGAGCTTTCTTGTTATTTTGTTGATGGTTTCTTTTGCAGTGCAGAAGCGTTTTATTTTGATATAGTCCCATTTGCTTATTTCTTCTTAGTTTCCATTGTCCTGAAAGATGTATTGGTGAACATATTGTTATGAGAAATGTCTGAGATTTTGCTGCCTATGGTTTCTTCTAATATGTTTATGGTTTTATGTCTTAAATTTAAGTATTTTATCCATTTTGAGTTTATTTTTGTGTATGGTGTAAGTTGGTAGACCTAGTTTCTTTCTTTTCGTTTCCTTTTTTTCTTTCTTCTTCTTCTTCTTTTTTTTTGCATGCAACTGCCCAATTTTCCAATCCTATTTGACCCAGTGATCCCACTTCTAGGAATATATCCTAAGAAATCAGAAACACCAATCAGAAAGAATATATGCACTCCTATGTTCATAGCAGCACAATTTACAATAGCTAAGATTTAGAAACAGCCCAAATGCCCATCTGCCAATGAGTGTATAAAAAGTGTTGTGGTACATCTACCAATGGAATACTATGCAGCTGTAAAAAAAGAAAGAACTCTTACCATTGGCAACAGCATGGATGGACCTGGAGAGCATTATGCTAAGCAAAACAAGCCAGTCAGAGAAAGATAAGTATCACATGATCTCATATGTGGAATCTAATGAACAAAATAAACTGATGAACAAAAATAGATCCTGAGATATAGAAGCATTGAACAGACTGTCCAACCTCAGAGGGAAAGCAGGGGAGGGCGAGTGGTGGGAAGAGATCAACCAATGAAGTTTCATGCATATATGCATAACCATGGACACAGAAAATAAGGTAGTGAAGGCTTGGTGTAGGGGTGGGCTGGAAGAGGTCAATGGGGGTAAAAAAGGAGCATATGTAATACTTTTAACAATAAAGATTTTCAAAAATTAATGAAAAAATATCCTTGAGTGAGGATTAACCAAAAAGAATTTAGGATTAAATGAGTTATTTTATATAAATATTATATACACTTTTGTTTTTATTGTTTAATTAAATTTATTGGTGTGACATTGGTTAATAAAATTATATATGCTTCAAGTATGCAATTCTATGACACATCATCTGTATATTGCATTGTGTGCCCCCTGCTTAAAGTCAAATCTTCTTCACTCACCATATATTTAACCCTCTTTAGCCTTTACTACCTCTCCACGGCTCTTCCCTCTTATAACCACCATACTGTTGTCTGTGTCTCCAGGTTTTTGTTTGTTCTTCTTCTTTATTCTCTTGTTGCTTTCATTTTTATATCCCACAGATGAGTAAAATCAAGAAATACTTTTGAATGTGTACTCTGTGTCAGGTGCTCTACTAGGTATTACTAATATAGAAATTAATCTTATTATACTATTGTTTTCTTCTAATAATAGCTACCATTTGTGATTATTGTGTGTGTGTGTGTCTATGTTTGTATGTGTTTACATATGTGTACTCCAGGTACTGTGATGGACAATTATTCCTTTTATTCCTAATGACAAATATTCAATACATATTTGTCATTTCAAAGATGAAAAAAACAGTATCAATGACATGTGCATAAGTTTATACAGAAATTACATTTCAAATCCTAAATTTGATCCCATATCTGTTTGCTATCAGTGTGTGCAAATTTTCTTTTTATTCCAAATTTTTATTGTCTTGTCCTTGAGTTGTGGGGGAGCCTGGCAGGTCGTCCTCACATGATACGGGCTGCTCTTAGGGATCAGTGTTGGCAACCCCCCCTCCCCCCTCCGCAGCACAGAGTTAGGTGCTGTGTACACAGCACACCCGTGCTGAGCGGGCTCCGCGCCCCCTTCATGGAATCCAACCTCATTCAAGAACAAGAAGCAAGAAGTCCAGGCCCCCAAATGGCTGAAGTTGCAAGGGGCCCTGGAGACAGACAGAGAGGTGGGCAAGCACAGCGAGGAGTCAGAGCAGGATGCCTCCTGGAGGCTGTCCGCGACGCAGAGCCTGCACTCCTCGTCTGCACCCGGAGAGGCACAGCCCTGGGCGTGGGAACCTGGTGCCACGGCTGAGCCATGTTGTCAGGGCGTGAGGCTAGCACCGCAGGCCGGGGAGGCGTGGGGGCCGTGGAGCGTGGGCTCAGCTGTCTGCAGGACCCGGCGGAGGCATGGCAGGCAGCGGCAGCAGCGTGAAGTGCACAAGCCCACATGAGGGTTCACTGGAGAGGAGCAGAGGCTGATCCAGAGCCGAGGCGCCCGGGGTCACAGGCAGGACCACAGGGCTGGACCCTCATGGCGGGAAGCAGCCCCAGACAGGTGGGTTTGAGAGCTTGGTGACATGAGCATGCGCTGGAAGGGACGGGCAGACAGAGCAGAGCCCTGGGGACCCCTCCTGGAGGCTGAGGGGCCCAGCCAGATGCGCTGGAGAGGACAGTACAGTGACCGTGAGGACAAGCTCGGCCTGCTGGGAGGAGGGGCGGGGGAGCAGCGGAAGGCAGGAGCCAACAGGCCCCATGGGGTGACCGTGCAGGCAGGTGGACAGTGGGCCGACAGTCTGCAGGCAGTAGTGGGAGAGACCAGGAAGGCAGAGGATGGGAAGGAAGGAGGGAAGGACAGAGCCAACAACTGGCTCCATGTGAAGACAAGGGCGCTGGTGTCTCCCTGGGGTGAGAAGCTTGGCCTGGCCTAGCCGGGCTGGGGTTTGGTGTGTGTGGGCACAGGGCCAGCCAAGGGGGCAGTTAGGGCCCAGGGACAGGCTGTCGGGAGGACAGGCTGCAGAAGCTGGGGAGGAGGGCTGGCTCAGAGCTCCCTCACAGCACGGGGGACTCCCTGTGGGAGGAAGGGCTGGCTTGGCGGAGAGGGAATTACCCAGGGACCCTCAAGAAGTGACCACGGGTCCTACCAACAGGGTCCTTGCAGGGAAGCCTGCTGTCAAGACCCATAGAAACCCTCGCGCATGTGCATGCCCACGTGTACACACATGCACACGCTGCCCGACTCTGAATTGCCAAAGGGACCTGCTTCTAGAGCCCTGGCCTCCAGGAAACGCTTCTTTGGGTGGATCCTCAATCCTGAGAACATGTAGATTTCTGCTCTTGGATACATGGCTGCGAGATCCAGAAGGCTGGGGCCTGGGGCCCCCAGGCAGGACTGCATTCCACTCCTTCACCCGCACCACCTGCTCTTCCCCGGAGGTCTGGCTTCAGTCGCGGGACTGGTGCGCAGGCCGAGGTCGAGGCGGAGCGGGAGGGGGGGGGGGCCCTTGGCACCGCCACCCCCGCCCCGTGCTCGGCAGCCCTGGGCAGGAGGAACTGCCACCCTGGGCTGGAACCCACGTGGGGTAGATGGCGCTGATCTGAGGTTCGCAGCCTCACCTGCTTCCCACGTCAGATCCAGGCACCTGAGAGCAGACGCCGCCTTTCCCAGACAAGGATGGGGTGGAGGAGCCTTGAGATGTCAGAGCCGAGGGCTGGGGAAGGGCTGCGGGCCACAGGCGGCCATGTCCAGGGTTCCCGGCTGCTCTGCTCCAAGGAGGCTGCCGCTGCCGCGAGCACCTGGGGCCCTGCACCAGCCACACAGCTCAGGTCGGAGGCAACTGGTCTCCCAGCCACAAGGGAGGGGATCCTAAGCCACGGTCACCACTTCAAAGCAGTATTTGGTAGCAGGTCCTCTGCAGCCAGACACCGGGCAGGAGATCCTGGTTGCCTGGGGCACCCACAGAGCCAGCTCCACTGGCTCATGTCCCTGCTCTCCACAGGAGGTAGGAGAGGATGAAGAAGACCACGATCAGGCCCCGGCCACGCCCCACAGCAGTTTCCAGTTGTCTCACCCAGACCGCACCATCGTGGAAAAGCGCTTCACGTTCCCTGTGAGCAGGCCTATCATGCTCATGAAATCTGAGCCCATGCCGTCCAGGTACCGGTTCTGGTCCTCCGTATCCCTATTGATGTCCAGGGCCAGCGATTTGAACCTGGTGACCTTGGAGGCCAGGCTATCAGCCCTCCGCCTATTCGCCTGGTCTAGAATCTCCTCCACGGCACCGGAGCTCTGAGCGCGAGCCCAGTCCGCCATCGCCCCGTCCAGCCAGACCAGGGCCCCAACCCAACTCTGCCTCCTGCAATGTGGCCAGTGTGTGCCCTTTTTATATCAGACTGTGGATCTCCAAAACATGGCCTTTCTCTCACATGATCAAAATTTATAATAGGAGAAAGGTACCAGTGTCAATAATAGAGTGTAATCAGCAGTACCCCTGCAGAGATCTATGAGTAAACTGAGCATCTGGAGTTGTCCAAAGTGGAGATCTTGAGGGTGAAACCACTGGAATATAACTAATGAGGTTATTTGCTTGAAGAAGAGTAGGAGTCAGTTTTAGACAAGGTAGTGAAGAGAATACAAAGTGTTATCTACATATATAAAAGCCCAGTGACTAAAGGGTAGAACTACCAGAAGACCAGTCGACCAGTTGCTATGACATGCACTCACCACCAGGGGGCAGATGCTCAACGCAGGAGCTGCCCCCTGGTGGTCAGTGCACTCCCACAGTGGGAGCATGGCTGGGCTGACCAGGATGAGCAGCCCTCCCACAGCAGGCCCATCACTGCAGGCCACGCCCCCACCAGTGCACGAATCCATATACCAGGTCTCTAGTTTATAATAACCAAAAACTAAACCCAACTTAAATATCTATCAAAAGTTGAATGGCCTATCCATAAAGTGTATTTGTATGTGTTATACAGTAATGAGGAAAAACAGCTCTTGCTTTACACATCATAGATGGATTTCACTAGCATACATTTTTTAAAAAATTGGTTTTAGAGAGAGAGGAAGGGAGATAGAGAGAGAGAGACATAGAAAGAGAGACAGAGACATTGATGTGAAAGGGAAACATCAACCAGTTGCCTCCCATATGTGCTCTGACTAGGGATCGAACCGATAACCTAGGTATGAACACTGACCTGGAACTGAATCCCCAACCTTTTGGTGTACAGGATGACATTCCAGTCAACTCAGCCACTCAGCCAGTGCTCACTAGCATACTTTTGAGCCAAAGTAGCCAAACACAAAAATTAAGGAAAATCAAGATAGTGCTATACAGTGGGGCCTTGACTTACAAGTGTCCCGACTAATGAGTTTTTTGAGATACCGGCTGACTCTCCGCCGATCTATTTTTTTATCTAGTTGGAAGTAACTGAGGTGTGTTCACTTTGTAAAAATTTATGAAGCTGTAACTTTCTATAAG